TATAAACACCAAGGTATGATAACTTAAAGTTTAGAAAAAGTAGCAACTACATATTTCTACAAACTCATACACTCTCCTTCGAGCTTGAGACTGCAATGTCATGTTTCTTCTCTTCACTTATTGTTGTCGGTTGCTCTCCAGGGGTATCCGATGTGGAATCTGGTTCCTTTTTAAGCTCAGACTCAAATTCTTTTGCTGCCTGCAAATTTACATGAGTACAAATCGTTCAACGAGGTAGGAATAGAAATGTAAATAAATCTTGTCAGGAATTGTGAAAAGCTAGACCAATTCTCACTTCTCAGGGTATAGGAATATAGGTTTAGAAACAAGCTTTAAAAAAGACAACAACAAAGAGCAATTATCTTTAGGTCAAGGTAGTAGAAAGACCCATTTTATTGTTATTTTTTCTTCACCCCCTTACATCAGGTTGCTTTCCCATCTTTTAAATATTTTTATCTCTACCAGAAATTCACAGGAGGGTCCTTAGAGATCCTTATAAAATTGATCACTCTGTTACAGTTCATTAACTTGTGTAGACATTAAAATGAGTCCGTTTTGCTATTTATTTTTATCATTTAATTTCATATCAATTTTCCCAAAACTTATTTTACAAGTCCACTGCTTGATTGATGATTTATTGGACTTTCTTTCAGAATATCCTCCTATATCTTGCCATAAAATTACATCATCCATATGTGCACTATCTATTGATTCGATATCAAGTGGGATTCTGCATACCCCCAAGTAACATGACCAGCCAATTCCAACAATAACAACCAGCCTCCAAAAATTTCATTACTTTTCTATGATGCATATGGCCTTTACACTCGAGGGGAAAAAAAGATGCATTTGAGACTTGCAAACATCTGTAGAAAACCAAAGAAGCATCTAAAGACGAGCACAAGCAGGAAGTTTTAGTCCTCAAGATAGAATTAAAGCAAACACATACAAAAGCATGAAACAGCTTTCTGAAAATAGAAAACCACAAGTTAACAGGGGCCCGGGTTCTTTGGTTTGAAAGAGTCATATGCCACTAACATAGAAAAAACACACTAACATAGAAAAAACACATGAGCAAGAATCATCACGGCATGATGCCATCCAAAAGCAGTGTGTTTAGAGCACAAGCTGTGTCAAATGTCCTTAATGTCAATGCTCAGAGACAAAGGACACTGATATTGTCTATGAAATGCCTTAAAAGCATAGAACACTGCCATGCATATTTACAAGGAACTCTCCAGTGAAAGAGAATTTTAATGGAAGGAACACTAAGTTGATGCATGTTTTTTCCAACAATAAATTTCTGTAAGCTTTGGGAAAAGAATAAACTTCAAAGAACTTCCAAAAAAACATTTCAGACAAACCTTTTTTCTTGTAACCGGAAAGTTCCTTTCACAATATAGGCCTACCCTCAACCCCCAAAGAGTTACCACTGATATAATTTACAAGTCTAGGAAAAAGAGAAACTGAAAAATACTTGCAAACAGCAAGCCTGAAGGTCGGCATGCACCTAACCCACAAGTCACTTCTTCAATCAAGTCCTAGTTAAGGGCAAAAATGTTCATTGAAAGGATATAAAACAGGTCGACATACATTTAAAATGATCAGATCTACTCCTGTTTTAAAACTTGAGTAAACTAAAAGTGGCTTGAATCTGAAATTATCAGCATTTGGTAGGGTCCCAAAATAAGTTCCTTTATCTTCATCAGTGCCAGTCTTTAATTTGTACCTCATCAACTCAAAGCTGTAACTTCTATTCTTTTTATTTTTCTGAACCAAGCTGTAAATTCTCTGTGTCCATCTTTCACTGACACCTGAGTGTTCTGTTAAAAGGAGAGACTATAGGGATGCATGCACATCAGCGTGTGCACACACAATGGAGAGTCTGTGTAGGCATAACAAGACAATTTAAGACCGCAAATGGTATGGCAATTGGGAATCCATTTACCCCAATAACAGTTCTCGGAACTGTTTGGTTCTGCAAAGCAACTGATGGGGCACACCCGAGATCAGTGTTTTTCTCCATTTTGAATAAAGCTACAAATCAATGCTTTTTTTTTTTTAGTTGTTGAGGAAAGATAACACCATTACAATTGCAAATCCTCTGTGAAAGATCCTAAAGTACCATCAACAAAACATCCTGCCAAACATCATTCTCACCTAACTTTATCTCCATGGGTGCTTTTCTGCAGGCACCATTTTTCTTCATCAAAATTGTAAAAAGACCAGCTCAAGAACCATTCTTTGTACAGGACTGGATTCAAAGTGCAGACACCTAGAAAACATAAAAAAGTTTTGCCAAGTCTAGCTCGAGCTCCACCAAATGGGGATAGGACAGAACTGTTTCGTATAAAGATATTATAACAGAAAACTGAATTTAAGGTTTCGTTTCTATTATGTTCTGTTTACTATCAAAAAGCAATTACAGAGAAGGTCAACAGTAATGAAATATTAGGCTTTATAGCTTTTACCTGCCAACCTGGTTAACATGTTAACATTACATGGTCTGTGTCTCAATAATTAATCCTTGACCCTCATTTCAGTTAGTAAGTCCAAATTGCAACCTAAGGATAGTGAATGCAAGCATCCTGAGGATATAAATTCAGTGGAAGATGAAACTAGTAAACAACTGATAAAGAACAAAAACAGGTGGTGTAAAAGTGAGGAAGGGTAGTGGGGGCTTCTGACTTGAGTACTATGACTACCAATAAACCAAACTTCTAACTAATCCTGAAAGTTAACGGCAAGATGAAACTACAACAAGCATTGTCTCCAAAAAGGAGAGGATTGCGTAATAGAAAATAGATAGTCAACTAAAATGTCCACTTATCCAAGCAAGTACAATATGATTATAGAAATGCATATCAACCAGAAAGCAACAACTGCCACACAAATAGCCCCCGATAAGACAAGCCTAGAACCAATATTGAAGCTCAATTGATCAGACCGTTCTGATGAGAAGATGTATGAACAAAGTTTAGAACTTCACAGACTAAACTCAATCTTGTGCATCTATTTTGGGATATCAAGAGTCCATTTAACTGAAAACAAACCAACATAGCAGACAAATGTTGCAAGAATGTACCTTGAACCACTTTTGTCCCACTTTTTTCTTAATACCCAAAAAGACCAACCATAACTGAAACAAGTAACAATCTCTCATCTCCGTTTCTGTTCTTTTCCTCATATTTATTTCTGGATCTAAGATGAAATTCCCAAACTTAATTAATACTTCGTTAAGTTAAACTAAATTTCCAATCATTTTCACTACCCAGATACCTAAACAGCATAACAAACAACAAAGTTCAAGACTTTCTATCACTTGAAAATCAAAGAGTACCAGAAGGAACTACTAACCTGTTGGAAGCTTTTGACAGTCTTGCCAATACTCCTTCCCACTTCAGGCAATTGCTTGGGCCCAAAAAGCAAAGTAGCCACTCCAGCAATAACAACCAGTTCAGGGACTCCTAGACCAAACAAAGCATTGCAAGTTAGACCCTTTTTAGCCCTCTGACTGCTACTTCTTGCTTTGCCAAGAACCAGAGAATTATAGGACTTGCTGGATTTGTTGGAGAAAGCAGTGGTGTTAAAGAAGGTGGATTGAGATGAAGATAAGGGAAGACAAGGTGGGAGCTTTGGAAAAGACAGAGTTATTGATGAGATCTCCATAATCAAGGTGTTTTTTTTTTTTTTTTGGACTTCTGGGTTTTGAGGAGAGTTTTGGCTGCTGGGTTTGTAGAGAAGGGGTTCACATCACAGATGGGGTGGGGATGGAGGTTTTTGGACTTTTTGACCTCATGTGTTATTGTTTTGTGGAATGTGCGATGTAGATCTTCTGGTTACTACTCGTAGTATCATTTAGATTATTCTAGTTTTGTTAATAATAAGCTGGAATTTAGGTTTAAAAAAAATTATTCCTTTTAGGTATGTGTTTAATATCATTATATACTTAGTATAAGTTTTGAAAAGTATAGAGTTTTCTCTTAAAAAAACCCTTGTTTCGTCCATTCAAATCTTGAATTTCTTATTCAAATTAAGAGTCGTGATTTTTGAAAAATTGACTTGCGCATGTCACAAGATAAAGAGAGTTTGATACCAACTTTTATTTGAAAATTTAAGATTATAATAGATGTTTTTTGTTTGAAAATAATTTAAAATATATTTTTTAAATTTATTCTTAACATTATATAATTTAAAATATATTTTTTAAATTTATTATCACATCGAAAAACTATTGTAAAACATTAAAAAAATAATTTAATATGATATAAAAAAACAAATATATTATGATATATTCTTTGAATCCCTTCATCCCTCGAAGATATTCTTTTAAGTTAAGGCGACAATAGAGGGAGGAGTTCATCTTTGTTTTGATTTTGGAAATGGTTAGGGTAACAGAAGACATTGCGTGAATTATTTGCCATGTGAAGCACATCAAAGTCCAAGTTGCGGTGGAGTTTTGTTAATAAAAAGTGGAGTTGACGGCCATTCAAAACCTATGATCTATGGCTTGGGCTGGGTCAACCACCAGATGCTTTCAACTCTACACTTGTTGGATCGGGTAATTTTTTTTAAAGAAAAAACCTGATTTAGAGTCTGATTGTTTTCATTTCTTTTGATTTTTCGGAAACACAGGTTGTACGGCATTATTGAAGCAGAAAAGATGAGAAAAAGAAGAAAGAAACGAGGGACGGCTACTGCGATTCTATCCGCGAGAAGAAGTTGGATCACGCATGGAGGACGATGGACCTAGAACTCATAACTAGATTTCTGAGAAGAATCAATACGCACTAGGATATCATTACAATGGCGTAGAGCATGCATGGCGAACTCTCCAATGTCAAGAGATCGTGAATATCTCTAAGAAGCAGTAGATGAAGCTGCCGCTACCGCCGCTAAACAAGAGTACCCATACTCTTTTGGCTAAGCTGGTCCCATACCAAACCAGACCCATATTTCCGCCACCGTGTATTTTACTCCAAAGTAAATTAAAAAGAAAAAAAGGTATTTTAGAATACCTCTTTTTATATGTAATAATAATAATAATAACAACAGCAACAACAAATGGCCGTAACACCACCGAACTAGCCTTCGAACAACAGCAACAACAACAACAAATGGCCGTAACACCATCGAACTAGCCTTCGAACCATAGCCCTTCTGCATTGTGCATCAGACACAAGCCAGTAAGCTACAAGGTAGGCCAGGATCTTTTTCTCTTTTAAAACTAATTACTGGAAAAGGCACAAAATCATCATGTTCATAAACCCATGTCATGAACCCATGGAAGTCACTGGTCGGATTGTCGGATTGCAAGATGTGGGGGGCGGGGGGTTGGGGGGGCATGGTGTTTTACATTAAATTACTTTAGAATTTATGGTTTTTGTTCTTTTCGAACTGAATCATTAACATTTTAGATCATCAGGTTAAACTCAAATAATGAAAAAAATTGATATCAATCATTTTTTTAATTGTTAAACATGGTTAATAAATCCATTTAAAATCTGACTTGAATCAAATTTAAATTTAAATTTAATATTGATTTAATTAAATCTAAAAGAAATTCATAAGTAAATCCATTACCTAATTAATCCATCAAATCAAGTAGTATCAAAGCCCAAGAATTAAAAAAATAAAATTAATAATCCAATAAAATAACCCTCGGTATAAATCAGACCTAGAAAAACAGGACCATGTCTACAATTATACTTTTAGCATGCATAAAGGTTAACAACAATGAAAGTATCTTGAAAGAACTACTCCATAATGGGCCCTAAAGTCACTTCATCCTTTTAAATAAAATAAGTAATAAAAAAAATAGGACCAAATTTGATACATAAATTATTTTAATTTAAAAAATAATAAAAGAAAAGTAAATAACAATTATAAAAATAAGGACCAAAGTTAATATAAAAATCAAATTAATTCAAATTTTAAGGGATGAATTTAAAAAAAAAAAGATTCAAACAAAATATATAGCAATCAAAAGTTTAAAGATCAAATTTGATATCATCAACAAATAATATGATATTTTTAAATTTTTCATAACTTCTGGAAAATGTTTTCTGTCCAAAATAAAAAGAAAATATTTTTATAAAATTAAGCTAAATTTTTATTTAATCGAAAAATATTTTTTATTAACCAGAAAATATTTTTCGTTGACAAACTTTTCTAATAATAAATAAATATAAGAAAATTTAAAAAATACTTTCTTAAAAACCATATTTTGAAAAATAAAATGGACTTTCATGATAATTTGGACTATTTATAGTTTTTATTTATATAAATAATTTCAAAGTAATAGGTTCAAATCATTCCAATTCGAATCCTTTATTTGCTTATCAAAATAAATAAAAATATTTTAATGGACACACACATATATGTATATATAGTTTACCAAATAAAAAAGTAAAAATAGAATTATGTTTTAATGGTTTTTGATGAAACAAATGTACGTATTATATGTGAAATAAAAAATAATCTTATCCATTAAAAAAAAAAACAATAAATACTGTGACAGTAATCTCGGCTGGTGACATATTTCACTTCAAGTTATTTACCTCAATTTACAAGGCAAATAAACTGTTGAATTAGCTCGAGGCTTTCATAACTCATCTCTGCTGGAAGAGATTTCAGGATTGATGCTCTGCTTATTTTCATAATCAAGAACACAAGACCAATTAGCAGAATTCAAATAATAATAATAATAATAATTTAGCAAAGAATTGACCCTTACCTGATGAACCAAAAATTAGGATTCAGTAAAATATTGGTAGAATCAAAAATAATTTTTTTATTACTAGATTAAAGTAGTGTTTTGTTTTTATTTTTATAGTAATTCGTGTGTTTTGTGTATTGCGTAGAAAATATCTTTTTAAAAATGTTTTTTAACTTGAAAATATATTAAATTATTTTTTAAAAATTTCTTATTTATTTTTTATAATTAAAAAAATAATATTTTAATATTTTTTTGAGTAAAATATATTTTTAAAATATATCTAAAAACAAAAACTACTGCATTTTCAAACAATCTATAATTTCTATCATGATTTATAACAGTCTTTTATCTTCTAACTATTAACACCAATTCCTTGATTGTTTGATCATTCTTTTTCTTAGTACTCGCAAATAAAATCAAGTTCTTCTATAAATATTTTTATTTCCTGTTTTATGAGATTTCTAATTCAACCATTCTAGAACCTTGTGTAGCAACTCATCTAATTTCGGGTCTTGACCCGGGAAGACCTGGGCCAAAAACTAAACCCATTTATTAATAGCATTTGTTACCGTTGAAATTTGAATTTCAAAACTCCCCGCACCATCGCTCCATCCTTCTCTCTCAAAAAGAAAAACTCTAATTTTACTGTGGCTATAGATTTCTGGATCCTTTCTTTCTTCATCATAATAGATTAAGAGATGAAGCAGTCTCAAGAGATCTCAATGGCATCAAAATCATCTGTGAGGAAGCCACTGAAAGACTTATCAAATAACAATGGAAGGTTCTTGAAATCTGTGAACCCCAAGAAAAAATGCAAGGAGATTGGTGAAAAAAAGAATGTTATTAGGGTCCAAGAACTACAACAACAACAACAACAAGATGATGATGACGGCTTTCTCGATCGCCTCTTGCTCGTCCAGTCTGATCTCTCGTCTCTCAGTAGCCAGGTACGTAATTACTTCTCCATATAAGACCAAATCTTGCATTTTTTATTTTGGTTTTTTGATTGTGTCTGTTACTGAGAAAAAATTGAAAGTTCTTAATCTGTGTTGATTTAATTTTTTCCTACCCTAGTTTTGACACTGTATAAGCCCTCATAAATTGGACTACTGTGCCTGATCTCCTTTTGTTTTTGGGGATCTGGGGCTTTTTAAAAATCAAAACTTCGAATTTATATATGTAATTCAATTAAAGGAATGGACAGTTTGATCCTATGCTTTGTTAGTACCAAGAGAAATGGAAACCCTGAAAGGACAAAAGGTTGCTTTTCGATTCTGAAACCAAGAAGAATCAAGAAGCTTACCCTAAAGAGAGAGAGAGAGAGAGAGTTCGAACCATGATAGTTGAAGCAGGTTTTATAGAAAAAAAGAGGAGGATGAACTTGCTCAATGATAAACTTGGAAAGCGGAGGATGATTGGAGCATGAGTTTTTTTAAATCCAGCTTGTCTTACCCAGCTACAAGCGATCTTTACATGTCAACGAAAAGGACTATTTTATAATTATGGTTTGTCAAATGGTTGCTTCTTCACTTTAATTCTCAGCTGCTGTCATTGAGCTGCAAGTGTTCAATATGTTAATGTATATGCTGCAATGCTCGTGGAATTAAACAGGATTGTTTAGTGGCACCTCGTTGTTTTATGTTCTTTAGTGATTGACTGGCAATAGCTAGTGACATGATGTCATCCTCTGAGATGGGGTTCTTGTTATCATTTTGTTTCATAGTTTTGAGATTTACTTTGAGTATGTATTTCGTTGTTGGGTATTGTTTTGAAATATATATTATTCTCTTTTTTAAACATGTTTTAATTTCTTGTTTAAGTTGTAGATGTCTCATGCATTTTTAATCTATCAAATTACAGATAGATGAACTCGTTGCCCAAGCATTTAAATTGAAGGCCACAAGCAAAGAGGGAATTGAAGAAATTGAATCTTTTATGCATGTTTTATCCAATATGCTGTCTTCTTTAAAGGTTATTCCTCTACCAGTTTGTTTCACGTTTTTATATCCGTTTGCGTCCACAAGTGATATAGGCTTCAATTCTTGTTCAATTATTGCAGCCATGGGTCCCCAGATTTCAGAAGGTTCTTTCCAGTCATTTTGTGGAGCCTGAAAAAAAGTTACAACATAAAATTGTTTCTGAGATAACTGAAGATGGAAGCTTTGATGTTGATAGCCCAGATAAAATCAGAATGGATTCGTTGATCTCTCCTTCTCCCCTTGTATCCTGGCGAGCTGGCTGCAATGTTGAGAGAGGTAGGCAACTATTTCTGCTAACACCCCTTCCTATATCAAAAACATTGTCAGCTAGACATCAGGACTTGCCTAAATTAGTATCTGAAAGGATTGCTTTGAATCCTGCTGTTGAGCCACCATCATTTTCTACTGTTTCTGGAGATGGAAATGAGGATTTACTTGAAGAAATGGCAACAAAGCCAACCCCAAGTAAGCCTGCTGATTCTGTTGCAACTGAAGGAAAACTTTACTGTGTTTCCTCCCCGGTGTTCTCAAAACTAAACCGCTCTGTTGTTTTAACCCCATGCTTGAAGATGTCCCCTCCAAAATCTTGTGTGTTGCTCGAACCCATCTCTCATTCCTCTCATAAAGGCGATAATAGGTTTCGGAAGTCCACTCCGTTTCCGCATGGAATTCATTCACATATTTATGAATCCTCTGGCAGTGAAGGTTCTGAGGATCTGGCTATGAAGTACCCAGAGCTCTTAGGGATACAACGAGCTTATAAATGTAGAATGGGAATTAAAGATTTAGAGGCATCTCCAAACTGGTCCTTTTCACCTCCTAAAACTTGTGTTGTTTTGAAACCACCAGTTGAGAAATCATTGGACATCAAAGCTGCTGATCACTGCTTGAAAGTCCATGTTCCTGTTTTGAATCAGCAAACAAATCCGACTCCCTCGAAAGAATACGGTGTTAAAGGAGGTTGTCATCAAATCAAGAAACCCTGCAATGAAGGTATTCATTCATTTCCATGGTGTTCTTTGTTAACTCTGATAGTATGTTGAACATTATCATAATCAAAAGTTCCTCTTTTTCAACAGAAGCCATATTAAGCAGCTCAAAAGTAATAGTAGAAAGTACTCCTTTATGGAAGGAGTCTGAAAGCACAATAAGGACAGGGAAGCGTCCTGGTGAGAATACCCTGAAAAAGGAACTTTGGACAAAGTTTGAAGCAGCATCCACATATGGGTTCCGTCTGAATGCCACTGCATTCCAAGGGACCGCTAAAAAAGGATTTCTTGACATGCTTGAAGAAGCTTCATTGTGACAAGGGAGATAACAAATATTCTAAAATGTGAGAAAGTTTTGACTTGCGAATCTCGCTGTATGGTATAGGTGTTTAGAACTGTCAATATCTTTTGTATGCGCACCCCACCATAGTCAGATATTCCCAAAAGCATGGACTTGAAGCATTTCTTCAAGTTTCTTTGCAGTATGATTGCAGTTAATTGAACCACCAGGGTATTATATAATGCTGGATTTGAGGTCCAGTTAATGCATTCTCGTCTATACTCTCGCTTTTGTCTTCATCTACAGAGCTTGGTATGTTTCATAATTATTTGTCTTTACACGAGAAGATTAGCCACATCCTCGGGTAATATCCCCTGTGCCTCAAAGCCAACGAGGAATGAATATTTGAGTTTTCAACGCTTGCATAAAAATGGAAGCCTAGTATTTTGTCTTCTTCGTGCAAATGGAGGATAGATTTTGGAAAGTTACAACGCAATCTCAAGTTTCAAAGAAAATGCATCAAGGCAGGAAAAAAGAAAAATCCTGAGGGAGGAAAAAAGGTATTTTAGAATACCTCTTTTTGAATATCAATCTTTCTTCTCTTCTTCTCTCTCTACCGGCCTTCGAACTCATGACCTGGTTGGTTGCGACAGGGCACTTACCAACAGGACACAAGTGAGGCCAGTGACAGCGTTCCACTTTTTAAATATATTTAATGTAATCAGGGTAAGCAAGCGTGACTGCCTTCTTGTATTTAAAAGTGCTGGTTTGAGAAAGGAAAAGAAAGAGTTGAGTTCCACTTTATAGTTTTATACTTGTACCGAGTCATCAAGTTATCTCTAGAACAATATTGTTAGATAAAAAAAAAATGATATTATTTATTGAACAAATTTTTTTTCTACGTTGATTTATTTAAGTCCCATCTAAATTTAATCATATTATTTAAATCTAGCCAAATCAATTCAAAATAAAATTCGACCCAGTAACAATCACTATATCAAGCCAGTAGACCTTACCAAAATATTGAGTGGTTGGATTAAAATTGTTGAGACGAATTGCTGCCTCGATTCAATTAGACTAAACTCATGTCTGACTTTCCTTACCCTTCTTTCAAGTTACCTAAAATGTTCCGTATTGATTTTCATGTCCTTTGTCTCTGCAAAAACTAATAACTAGTATTCTTTATTTATTGGGACCAAACATGTGATATGAGAAAAAAAGAAATTATGAAAACTTGGCTTGTCAAGTGAAAGATCGATCGTATATCAAAATAAAGTTTGAGGGGGTAGAAGCGGACATGCCAAAACAGGAGTGTTAACATGCTCGTTTACTTCACAAGAAAGCTTGGATTTGAGCCATGGTATCATAGCTCTTGGTTAGCAGCAACTCTATGCCCTGTGATGTCACTCATGAGGTAAAATCATTCACGGAAATGCAAAAATGTCTAGCAAAACAGCAGCAGTGTAAGAGGTTCAATTGATAAGCTGTTCTATAGAGCTACGTTTTGCATTGCCAACTGCGGTAAAAAATAATTGTTTGATTCAACATGTAATTAAAGAATAGGATCTTTACATACAGTTAAACCAAAAATCAAACTGAAATGGAATCTTCTTCTCTAAATCTTCTTGACAGTCGGGGTTCCTTTGCTTGTTACGACTGCTCCCCATTGGACTGAGGTCCACAAGGACTTGCACCCCCACGAATCCGTTTCTGCAAACGCTCCAAGCTAGCCACTCGCTGCAAAGAAGCTGTTCGCCCCAACTTGTTCCCTGATACTCCTGCTGCTGTTCCGGAATTCGGCTGCACATTTTCAACTGAAGATATATCGGCCAACACAAAGTTGACTCTGGGCCTGGAGTCATGAGTTGATATAGCATTGTTAGGAGCCTGATAGATGTGATGCTTTGAATCATCCTTGACAGGGACAGCAGCATCTGCTGATGTGTCAGAGGGGCATCCATCAAACGACGGCATACTCATTGTGGATACATCAGGCATGGCATGGAACACATGGTTCAACCCAGTAAATCTTTTGACCTTCTCTTCAGCCATCCTCACCTGGATATGCATGCAATCACCAAATGAAAAGGAATAACCGAGTGCCAGTTTCCTGCCTCCAGATGTACACCAAAATCTCTCCCCTTTAAAACTGCATGCATGCCAGTGCATGTGTTTGGAGGGAGATTAGTGTCACTATGATCACTAGATGTCATTCTCAGCTAGGAAAGGGAGGTGAAAGCCTTGCAATGACTCTGTATTTGAACTTCCAAGGACAAGACAATTAAAGTTACCTTTTCTCTCAGCGTTTCAATGTCAGCTTTTAAAATTCTGTTGTCAACAGCAGACTTATTGTACTTCTGACTTGTGTCGGCCAGCCGCTTCAGCAGAGAAGAGTTTTCAACCCTCAATTGAGCAACCTGTAAAAAAAACATGTTTAGGATTTATGTAGAAGAAGAAAAACAAATGGAGAAGACAATCAAGCAGGCAGTAAAAACAACCAGACCTGGGTCTCAAGCTCAGTCAAATGGGCCTGCTTTCTTCTTCTTGATCGTCTAGCTGACTCTCTATTCGAAAGCATTCTGAAAAAGCACGGCATGATTCAATGGAAGGAAATAGAATCAATAGCAGAAAAAATTGAAGAAAAAAATCTATTCCTTGGTAATTAAAGCCCGCAGATCTATGAGCTAGCCCATGTTTGACCATCTCTCTCCCCCGTTTGATTCACCAGTGTCTTCAAATTAGAAGGAAAAAAAAAAGTGTCCAATGCCATCATCAAATATGCTACCAGCTATTTTGAGCATAAATTGAAACAACAAACAATTGTGGTGCTATATTTTAAGCAATATGTTCTTGCACAAGTATTCTGTTTCAGATGGCTACCTCTATGATGTATCTAATCTTAAATGCATGAGAAAAGGTTCAAAAACTTACTGTAAACTGATGTTTTATGAGCTGTCATCTGATATTTTAGTGGACTATGCTTGGGCCACATAAACTGACTGAATACTCTGATCTCTCTCTGGCGTGGAAATCATACATGCAGGACCAGATTATAGTAACAAAACAAAACATTTGCTATCCACTAAAAATCACATCTGGAACCTGAGGTCTTGCAGTGAAAGTGTTTATTACACATCAGATGGAATAGACATGAATTTCTCAATTTTTGAAGAAAAAGAATTAATATTTCAAAAACATATGATATTAACAATCAGAACAACACAGAAATAATTACCTCCTCACACGTTTTGCATCAGCAGGGTGCATATTCTCAGTTATTTTAGTTTCTGCTTCATTTTCATCATCTTCCGACAGTTCTCTGGATGATCCACTTGTTGTTGGTTTACCGGTAACTGCAAGTTTCTTTTGCATGGAAGGCAAGGAGGGATTTCCAAGTGGCTCATTAGCATCTTTTTCTCGGGACCTAGATAAATCATGCCCAGCTCCTGCATAGGTAATTAGAAAGAGAAATGACTAAAAGAGCAATGGTATGAGTGTTTTTATGGAGGTATGCAAAACCTCATACCAACTCAATGGAGAGATTGTGCTGCGGGTGAAAGAGAAGAGAACAGATTCAGGATTGGGCAAACATATGTTGATCATAGCATCAGAACACGAACACATCAACCATGGCTAGATTATTCAAGTTGCCATGTTTTTGTCCAGGATAAATGCAAAATTATTCAAAAAAACCTTAACAATTTTCCTACTTGGTGCTACTAATTTTTTTGTCAAATGAGTAATAACACAAATCTTTCATCAAAGAAGCCTAAGTTCGGGATATGGGGAAATTACATTCTAATTTCCTTCACTTTCCCATCTGCCAGGTTTCTGTAACGTGTGAGTTCATCATATCACACTGATTTTGGATGTCTGCAGCCAAATTCCCTTGCAAACTTATAAGCTGTTAGCCTGTCACTATTACTTCCAAGAAGCAATGATTTGACACGGGCTTTTAGCGTAGTGAATTATTATGCTACAGTGTAAATAAGGATGACTTTTAATCTTTCTCATCTAGTTTGATCAGATAAATGAATGATGGGACCCTAGATCATTGAGCAAAAGCCCCTATCAACGTAAATACTAATTGCAGGAACCCTTCCTTATATCTAGATTCTTTGAAAATTCTTTCTAAGGTTATGTAAGAGTTTCTTTTTCTTTGATGCACAGGAATTCTAATTCCCTTGTCAATTTGGGGTTCTCTACTAGACTTCTGTGATTGATTTATATGCTTTATGAACCTAATAGTCCAGATAATTAAGTAATGAATTTGTTTATCCAATCTAATGTCTAAAGGATTCAGCCCTTGAAGCTTTTTAATCACTATATCTAAGCAATCATTTCTTCCTTGTTAAAATGAAAACGGCCATGCCCTAAAAAGATAGGATATGTACTTCTGAACAACATGCATATTTATGGCAAACAAACTAGGTTGAACCTTTAGAAGGAGCATGGGATCCCAAATGTGAAGTACTTGAAGCCTGTGATCCACTTTCAGCTGTAGCAGGAGATTTTAGAGGTTTTACAAAATATGCCTATTGACAAGAGCAAAACATATTCAATTAACCAAGATAGGCCTTTTAAAATATGTATGGTAACGAAATACATAAACAAGAAAATAAAGAGTGCATAATGGAAAGGATGGCTTTGCATTTGCTTTGTCCAAACATAGGGCTACTTTACAGGTTAACATACTCAAACTAGCATTTAATCCCTGTTATTAGCAAGATACCATATAGGTTCTACTGCTTCACAAATCTTCAGTTCCGCCATTCCAAATTAGTTTTCAATAGTTTGTACGAATTGGGACCTCCAGCATTCTGAAAAAAAGGGACCACCATAATCCCTTTACAATCAAGCAATCAACAATATAGGCTACTATTCCGACAATTCATCATTCATTAGAAAGGTCTGTAGACTTCCTGTCTTCCTTTGCTTAAGTATCAAATAGATCTTACTACCTAGCTTCACCGTTTAACTTCAGTTCTAATGTTTCAGACTCATGGAAACCTGATGTTCAAGCAAATTTCAAAAGTGCTACCCTTCTTGTCCTCAGTAAATTCCTTCAATTTTAGTTAAGCATCGGGCAGAATTTCCCTTGTACAGCTGATGCCCACTTTGGCCCTGGCCCTGGCCCTTCTTTCATCTCTAAGCACAAATTCCTATTTTAGTTAAGCACAAACCTATCGCCGCAACCATATGGGATTTCCACATTCCACTTGACAAGGCGACGGATTAAAAGCAAATAAAAGCTATTGAGAGCTTGGAACACCCACCACCCAATGAAAACGAACTGGTTAAACTCTATTTGGCTGCTACACAAAATGCCAGCAAAGTGGGAAAAAAATATTAAACCTAACTATCAACCATTAGGCCCATGAAATCAAATTCTCCATTGAATCTCAAACCAAGACAACTGCAACTCCTCAGGAAAAAGAACTTCAGAACTACTAAAATTTCCATTTCCCTTGCACTAAGAGCAAAAGCACCCATATATATACTTCCTTTTAGTTTTCAATTTTCCGGAAATAAAGAAAAAGAAATCTACCCGCTAGTTAAATAATTAAACTAAATTTTCCATTACCCAGAAGCAAAAATACATGGTAAAGAACTTAAAAACAAGCACGCACGCACACAGAAAAAATTCTATACTTTCCTTTCTTTCGCAATTTTTTCATACCAATCAAGCACAAAGAAGGAAAAAAAGGAACAACACAAGATCCAATCCTTTTCTTTTCCTTAACTTAAAAAGAAACGGGTAAAAAAAAAACGAGAAACTTTACCCGAGACAAAGCAACAGCAGCACAAGCCATATTGAGTTTACTCTTCAAAAACGCATGATAATCCTCAGAGTCCACAGGAATATCCGCCGGAGCACCAAGCGACAATGAAGCAGCGGTGGCACAGGCCCCATTACTCAAGGGCATGGCATTCTCTTTATAATTATTATCACAGCTCTTACTTGTAGCGTTGTTATTACTATATCCATAATCATTGATATGAACAACGTCAGTTTTATCAGCTGAAGAATTGGGAGTGTTGTCATCAAAGGTTGCAGCAGAGGCTTCTTGAAGAAATCTTTGAAAAGCCCATTCAGATTCAGACCGGTTCATTTTGGACAATTGGTGTTTGTGGCCCGTGCTAGACACCAGGATTGGTCTGTGTGACATTATCCTCCACTGAAAATACCCTATCCATGTTCAACTTTTGATGTTTTTATTGTTGTCTTGTGTGGGTGGAGATGGCGTGGGTCTGAGGTGTCAATGGATAAAGCAGAGATCTTGTTTTGGTTTTCCTTCCGCTCTGTTGTTGGCTCCATTTTATACTCATGCCATTAGATTTATGGTTCCAACAAGTGGGAGAAAATATCCACTACTTGCATTGTGTAAGAATTCAATGAATGAGCTTGTATTGGTATAGCGGTGGAAGGGGCTTGTCTTTTTTCACTGTACCTGAGTTCGAGCCCTAGTATTGTCTTCTTCCACTGCACCTGGGTTCGAACCCTAGTATGCACGTCTGTCATCCCCGCGGTGCCTTACATATCTACTGGGTTTGCAGGATATTCAGTGGGTCGTGGGGATTAGTCGTGGTGCGCACAAGCTGGCCAAGACACCCCACGTAAATAAAAAAAGAATTCAATGAATGGAATCATCTAGGTGGTGACCAAGTGGCAAGGACTTGGGATCAAGGGGTTTGCTCCCTCTGTGGTCTCAGGTTCGAGTCCTTAGTTACTCATATGATGGCCACTGGAGGCTTACATGGTCGTTAACTTCAGGGCCCGTGGAATTAGTCATAGTGCGCGCAAACTGGCCCGGACACCCACGTTAATCTAAAAAAGAATTCAATGAATGTGTATATATAGTCCCTCCTACTAGTAGAAGAATTTTGATGTATGATCACCATTTGTGCATATCCATTTTGGCAACTCTGATGGGGGAGAATTTGATCTCTCTTTGTGTTTTATTCAATTGATCCAGTGATATTTTTCTCCTAGTTGGTTTTTGTTTTTGCTAAAAATTGATTCTTTGTGATGTGGGAGTTTTGTATCAAGAATGAATGCTGTGATTTCTAAAATTATCACTCAACTTGAATTTTATTAGGAACACTTGTTGTAGATATGATAACCACATAGTTTAAACATTGCATTAAATATTTAGAAAACTTTATATGATATTAAAACATGTAAAATTATACATTTTTAAGATATTAGCTAGTTTGATAAACTGATTGATTTTTTATATTATTATTTTCAACCAGAATCTAAAATAAAAATATGCTGACAGAAAAAGAAAGGATATATGACCTTCAAAATAGAAAAAAAAATGCAGTATGAATAAATAATAAAATATTCTTGCGGAAATATAGTTGATCTTTCAACCATTTGAACCTAAAAATGCTTCTTCTTTTTCTTCTTTTTTTGAAAATGCCTTTCAAATATCTATGAATTCTTTTAAGAACATGAAATGGACGTAAGAAAGTTCCATCTTAGAAAAACAGAAAACAAGAAGGATTGGAAGAAGAAAAGATCTTCATAAAAAATCTTCCAAACCCTATTTTCCCTCCAAACTCTTGCATACTATTATCTAGCATTCCTACAAGAAATATCTCACACCATGATAACAGGCACAATCCTTTGACAACATAATAAAACTTTTCATATAACATTTTTTTGTTGAAAAAAATAATACAGAAGAACATATAATTACTTGTCATTAGCTGGGAGTAATGGAGTAAACAAAAAAAATGGGGTCTTACCTCCTCCTTTGACGCATTACAGAATCTCCCAATTATTAGGTCTTTGTTGAGGGTGTACAAGATCATGGAAAGAGACGACTTTTTTATAGATATTGGTGGCTGTCATTGGATGGCTCTCTGTGGTGGGATGCGGCGGTTCATTTCTGGATAAATACTGAAGATGGCTCACAAATTATGGTGGTCCATAATCTCCCTTGAGCCCTCAACTCTTTGTTTTATTATCCTTGAAAGCAACATCTACAGGAAAGCATCATAACTTGGATTAATTCTTATGGGATTTTACATTTATGTTCAATTTGAATTTTTCTTCAATTTACACAAGTGATTCTCTATTATCTCAAAAGAAAAAATGCATCATAACTTGTGGCTAGGTAATTAATTCTTATGGGATACTGGGAGTTCAAATTTGATCACGCAAGAGGAGATTAAAGTTCTTGCGTCTCACATTAACAGATTAAAAGGAGTCTCTCAAGAGAAGGTATTAGATCCAAGAAAATGGCATGCACCCCGTTCTGTGAAGGGTGCACTTTATCCCAGAAAAATGACGACTCAGGGTGTCGGCATACTGTAAACATCTCTGCGCCTTTCTGATCTTTCATCCCGCACCAATATGCATCAGTCACTCCATCGCAGCATGGCTCTAATGGATTCCCGTAGTTTGAGTTTTCTGCAGTAATAGGTAAAAAAAGATCAGTTTGATCATAACCTGTTTATATGCCTGCAATTTACCCGTCTCGTTAAATTTTTTAGCATTATTATTAAATAAATAAAGAGTTTTTTCATCAAAATAATCTTTTTTTATTAACACATGTTTATCTTAACAACGTAATGTTTTTAATTAAAGTCATTGTTTATGTTAAAAACAAAATATTCTACTATTATTAAAGCTAGTAATTAACAAAAAAAAATATCAAAAAAGTATGTTTATATTTGTTATGTGATTAAAAGATAAAAAATTTATAAATGTTATAAGATCATATTCAAAATTTATTTAGAAATTTTAACAATAAAAAAATAATTTGAATCGAGTTTTCATGAATAATTTATTATTATTATTTTCATATCATATACATAATCATTGAAAAAAAAATTATAATAGCATTTGAGAAACATGTTAAAACTAAAAAATAAGTAATTCTTGTAATTTTTTTTTTTGAGTATTAAAAATAACCAAAAAAAGAAGAAGAAGACATACAAAAAAGGATAAAATCTAGTGCCTAACCAATCAGTAGCATGCTTGGCCTGCACAGTTGGACCTATGCTTTTCTTTTTTTAGACCGGGTGGACAACTTATTGCCCGTTCCTTCTTTTAAAAAAACAATATCATAAACACGTGAAAGAAAATGTTGCATGCCCCAATACTTAAATGTAGAACCTCTATCCTTATTCCAACATGCTAATAAACTAAGCTACAACACACACTTGTTAACCAAGCCTAAAATCTCAAGTCAATTAGTAAAAAAAAAATATAAAAAACAAACACAATCAATTATATAAAAAAATACATAAAATTTAAGATAAACTCAACAAATCTTCAAATTGATTTAAATTGAGTCAATTTATAAAAATTGAGCTATTTGATTGCTACCTATAAATATGTTTCAAGTACTAAACAATTCAATCAAGTTAAAGCAATATTGAACTTTACTACAAAGATAAACTTTTTTATCTATAATGTTATTATCTTATTATATATCAAACTAACATCTATAATACCTCTTGAGATAACGAAGTATCCATTTCATATACTGTTAATAAATTTTACCAGGATATCTTATAAATATGCTAACCATACTAATTACATATGTCCAAATGAATAGAGGCTTTAATATATATAATGTATTCAATTGCAATAACATATAAAACACCTAATATTTACTATTTCTTTTCCTCAGTTTCTAGTAACAAGGTTGAAAATAACATGAAAAAGGCTATTGTAATCTTGCATGTTAAAATAATTAAGCATGTTATCAAGATACATATTTTATGACAAGTATAACTTACCAATACTTTGATTTCTATATAACTCTATGTAAAATCTTTTTTGTTGCACTTAAATTCTTTTTTTTAAACTTATCACTCAATTAATCATTCAAACTATTGATCCTAAATATATTTTTAAAGGCAATCAATATATCATCAACATACAACAACAAGTACATAAATAAACCATCTAAGAGCTTTGTGAAATACACACGTTTATTATGGTCACTTTTAAACATAAAAGTATCAGAATTCTTATATCATTGTCTCGATAACTACTTCAAACTATATAATAACTTCTTCAATAAGCACACATTGTTTTACTTACCTTGAATAATAAAACCTCTAACTTATGTATATAAATCTTATCCTCTAGCTCACTATGTAGAAAACTTGTTTTTATATACAACTGTCTAATTTTTAAATCAAACAAAACAATCATAACAAACAATTCATTGTCTAAATTTTACCCTGCATTATTTATAATAAACAATACTCATATAAATTCAATTTACTTGTTTTATGACCACATATCAAATTCTTTTTTATTAACTCTATCATTTCTTTCTCAGTCATATATCTTTATCATATATGTAATAAATGTGTAAAAGCACTATGTGAATCAACTATAAATAATACACCAACTGAATCAATAATTATTGAATATTGAATATGATAGACACCTTTAACCATCTTTCTTTTCATCACGAAATAAGCACTCTTACAAATTAGAATAGTCATAACCTTGTAGATCAAGAAGACTAAAAAAAAAAAAAATCTTCTTCATCTTTGGAACATGCCAAACCTTTAACATTCTAATAGTAGCATCATACATCTTAATTTGAATTGTACTTGTATCAACAATATAAAGTCATTTATTGTTTTTTAATAAAACAATACTAATAAAAACTTTTAAAGTATCAAACCAACTTCTATTAGGATAAATATAAAATATGCAAACCAAATTAAAAATTCACCCATCATCTGAACTACCAACAGATATAGCATGTTCAATGTTATAAGAAATTTTCTCTTCACTAGCAATATTTATAGCATATAAAGTTTCTTTCTTCTTTGTTGTATCTTTTTGCTTAGAATAATCTTTTCTAAAATACCATATTTCATGGCATTAAAATATGACAACTTTAGATTTTTATAAAGACTATATATATATATATATATGTATGTATGTATGCATGTATGTATGTATGTATTTTTTTATTTTGGCCATAATTTAAAACAAGCTCAACAAGTACATATAAACTATTCCATTCATGACATTTTTTTTTAAAATATGGAAATTCTTTTTTTTAGAGAATTTTTAATAAGAAATGTTTTGAAAACGGAATAATAAGTTTGAGATACCATAACTTTTTAAAAATAGATTAAATGAAATTACGTATACAAGGAATTATATTTATAACATGCGATGAGGCCATTTTCTCTATTTTATTTATAATGGAAATGGAAATGAGAATTCATCACCTTTGTTTTTTTGAAGTGCCAGATCCATGGCCTTGTAAAGATCCAAAAACACAAAGGCATTCTTCTTGCTCTCCTCTACATTTCTCAACGCTGCTGTCAATAGCTGATTGTGGAACCTCGACTCCTCGTTCCAAGTCCCATTGCAATTTGTACGAGGTCGCGGATTAAGTTGCGGCCAGCATCCTCTGGGTGGCGATCCTAAAATTGCTATTTTTTTCACTCCCAGCTCATGGATTTCTTTCACGTTCTTCACAAGCTGGTCAACAACTCTTCCAGCGAGATCATGCACGTCCTGTCATGTGTAAAGAAAATGCAGTACTGGGAAAAAGAGAAGAAAAGGAAATAAGGACTTGCTTAATCCCATTAGCCTAACCACTCACCTTTATGGTGCCGCTTTGGTTAAGATACAAGTACGTGTAGTCATTGCCTGCATCAGAAACTAGTGCAGCAGAATTTTCAAGGTCATATTTTGTGAACACTTTCTCTTTAATTTGTTGTTTAAAATTGTTGATTTGGATGGTCATGCTATGATTGCTCCATGCTTCCTTCAAAACACCACTCCCTCCGTATGCAAAATTCATTCCATTCTTCAGTTCTGCTTTGTTTTCTGCTAAGTTTCTCTTTTCATATTGTACCGGAGAATTTATACCGAGAAATGAGGCTGCAGGAAATGTTTTAGAATGTCCACAGAAGAAAAGGAAATAGATGAATAAAATGTCTCTTGAAACAAGAAACGATGAAAGGATATAAGCTCAGGAAAAAGAAGCAATTGTGCACCTATATAATCAGTCAGAACACAACCACCAGAAGACCGGAAAGGTTGAAGATTCCCGGTGTCAACATAAGAATCTCCAAAAACAAAAAGCTTCGGAGAATGATCCTTAGGAGAACTGTTTTCTGGAACTGGACACATAGTAAGTGTCTCAGAGTTTTTTATCACCTTAACTTGTCCTGCAATCCCATAGGATGTAAAAGTTCAAAGTAAAACCAACAGATTGGTCTTTGGCCTATCCCCCCCTCAAAAACTAGTTTGTGAGGTGAGGTTATCCCTTACACTTTAATTCTTCGCCGGCCTATTCCACAACCTATGCGGGATAACCTCAACAATCTGCCACTCATACATCGGGCCTTGGATAGGAGCCGCGACAACTCATTTCCTTACCCTAATTGTAGGGTCAGATTTGTTTAAATCTTGAGTCCATCTCTCCCTCAAAAGCTAACTTGTGATAGGAGACTTGTCCTTACACTTGTAAACACTTTACCGGTCACTTCCACAACCGATATGGAAAAACCCCAGCAAAGATACACATAAAAACAAAGAAAATCTCAAAGAAAAAGAGGAAACAGCTTAAATAATTGTGTTACCTGTAGAAATAGTAACGAGGGAAAAGAAAAGAAAACCAAGAAAAAGGTCCCCCCTCTTCTCCATTGCAAACAAATGAGAAAACAAGAGAGGGAAATCTGTAGTTGGTAGCGGGTGTAGTATGGGAGAAAAATAATGGGGTAGTATTTACAGGCAATGTTTTATGGATGCACAGTTCATGCATATAAATTAAATCTTACGAGATTTCTTCAAATACTAGCTCTTCTGTATTATCTAGCTCATTGAACACCCAAAATCAGGAAACTTGTTGTAATTAAATCCTAGATTGTTCTGTTTTTTATGCGACAATCCTGAGATTAGCTTGCTAATTTAACTGCAATATATTGAATGGTAACCCCATGAGTTGTTAATTTAACTGCAATCTATTGAATGATAATCTCATGAGTTATAATAACTTACAAAAACTGTCAGAGAAACCTTTTCCATCCTAACGATACAAGGAAAGAAAAAAAATACATACATACATATATATATATATCACAACTCCATCACGTCCGAAATTGTGTTGCTTCTAATTAAACCGAAATTCCACTAGAGACAGCTCCTCCAAGAAATAAATGGTTAGGGTTGGATTTATCACATCGTTTTCAATGGGCATATATCAGAGTGGATTGGAAGGTTACTGATCCGTTTCTGTTTGGTCTGTCAGAAAATAAATCCGCTAAGCATTCAATAGAGCAGTTAACCATTTTTACTTTATTCTTTATTTGATTAGATGGACCTGTTGACGCTAAACATTGAGTTGCAATTAAGAATAGAGGAGTCTGGCAGGCCTCGAAGATCAATGAGGCTAAGTTAAAAAACATTAAACATGCTGTAATCCATAATAGTCATTTAAATTCAAGGTTATAATGCACTCACGGTAAGCTTAGATTATTAGATAAGCCAGGGACTGTACACCGCCTTCTCTCACATGAAGCTTATTGTGAAAGAAATCATGAGTCCCATGTTTTTATGGGAGGAAGAAGAAGAAGACAATACCTCGTATATATGAATAATTCCTCGAGGTTCTAAAGCTGAAGTTTCAGTAGTGGAATGGTTCCATCAACAAAGACTCGAAGAACCATATGGCACTAGGCTTGACTTCTAAGGCCGAGGAGGACAATGGCCTTTTCCTCCGAGTGCTGGGAAGCCCATTCGGAACGTATTCATTGTGGGATGAGAGTGTTCCTTATTCTTTATGTTTTGTTATCACCACGACATTAACTCGGCCTCTTTTGTTAGAGAACAGTGTGTTTTAAATAAAAATTGATTTATATGAAAAGTTAATTTGTTTTTTATATTCAATAGCTTCATGAAAAATAATTTCTAACAAATAGTTGTGAAAAATTATATAAAAAGCAAATAATAAATAATAAAACCTCATCTCCAATTAAATAAACACTAAAGAGTGAAACTAAAAACAAACATAAACCTAAAAAATAAATAAATAAAACATATCTCATGAACTAGTCTCATAAACTTTAGTTAATTCCCCAAATTCATAACCAATAAAATCCTAAATCATGGCTCAATTAATAAATTTAATTCCTAACCAATTTAATGTTAAAGGATGGAGTAAAAAAAATATCAATTTAAAAAACTTGTGAAAGTATTAAAAAATAATTATCAAATTTGATAGAAAAAAATTATCTCAAATAAAAAAAAATGAGGATTAAATTTGAGATGTGAAAAAAATCAAAAGATATGAAATTAAAAATAAATTATAATTTTATAAATTACTTAAAATAATACAAATAATAATAAAAATAAGCAAGAACTAAATCTAAAAAAAAATAAACTAAAGTGTTTCTTTAAAAATTTACAGGGTTGGCAAAAAATTGGAGGAGAAAAGAGATATACTTTACTTTTGAAGGTAAAACTATCATTTACGAGGCCAAAATTAACTTGTAAAACTACTGTGCAGAGTCCTTTAATAATAGTATTTAGCCTAAATTAAGATTAATGTTGTATCTTCGACACTCCAACATTTTCCTTATTTTCAAGGTTGATTGAAATTAATTATATGGAGTTTAAAAGATTTTGTTTTCCCTTAATTTGTCCCCAAAGACAACACTTCATATTATAGTCCCAAGACAGATAAAATCAGACTCTGAGTCTTTCCCTTTAGATATTTTGCAATGTGCTGCCTCAGTTCCGAGAATCTACAGCTTACAATGAAGACCCTTTCTGTTTTTGTATTTTAAAAGAACATTTTTTTAAAGTTAATATTTTTATAACATTAATATAGTTATATTAAAAATAAATTTTAATTTTAATAAATAAAAATATATTTTTTTAATTTATTTTTTTAAAAAAATAATTAAATATATTATTTTAATTTATTTTTTAAAAAAAATAATTTAAAAAACAATAAGCACGGTATTGTTTTCATTCCTAGCTACCATGGATTTGGTATCATCATTGATCCTCTGAGGACCAACTAACAGGTCCTTCCCCAGTTCTTAATTAGTCTTTCTTTTCCAAAGCAAGCCACACCTTTAATCCAACTCGATGCATAATTAAATGCTGGAAAAATTGAAGAAATGGTGCGAGGCTGGCTAGCTGGGCAATGATCGATCCATTACTTTTAATTTACAAATAACACTCCGATGAAAGGAGATTGGTGTTTGGTTACCTGTGCACAGTACAATGATTCATGAGATGATCGCTCAACCATCACTACCTGTTAGCTAATATCATACCAAGAGATTTGTTGCTAGATCAGCAGCTGCTCAAACAAACCACATGGACTCAACAGACTCACTTATAAAAAAGCCTCAGAGTAGAACAAAAACATGAAATTAAAAGTGACCTAGTTTTTTATTTTTCTAGGAATTGACCATCACCAATTAAGTTTTTGAAAATGAAAAAAAGTAGACAAAACGGGGTTGTCCCTTTAAAAAAATAGGAAGAAATAATAATAATAATTATTATAAAGATTCTAACAATAATAAAATTTATAAATGAAAATTGAGACAATAATAGATTTGCTCTGTTAAAGCTGCTACATCTCGCACAGTAATTTGGTGTCAAAGAAATCAAGATTGTTAGGAGCACGATTTGACACTGCTTGATTTTTTGCTAGATTAGTTGCTACCATTGTCAGAGGGGTTGTTGTCGTTGGAAAAGAGAGTGAGAGGCAGTAACATGGAAGGTTGAGGGGAGAGGTTAGATGGGAGAGAGGGTTGGAAAGGCTAGAGATGAGGGTGTGCGAGAAAAACCTTAAAATTTTCTATTTATACATGTACTTGGTATAAATACAACTTTCCTAAATTTTAAAATTATTTATATAGTTCGGTCTAGTTCAGACAAATAATGATAGTATTTATACCCTACCCAAATCTTATTTTTTTTATTTTAGATATTATCTAAACTCAAACTAATAAAAAAATTTACTATTTATTTAGATCAATTTAGATTAGTATCTACCAAGTTCAGATAAAATTATTATTCCTAATTATAAATATACTAAATTTATTAATCTGAAAAGTTATCAGCTTACTTAATAAGCATTTTTTGAAGACTCTGTAAACTTAATTGAATTATAAAGCAATTATTTTTATTAATTTTGTTGAATGATTTATTTTTTCCAACTTTCCTAAATTTTAAAATTATTTATGTAGTTCGGTCGAGTTCAGGCAAAGAATAATAATATTTATATCCTACCCAAACTTTATTATTTTATTTTAGATATTATTTAAACCTGAACTAATAAAAAAATTTATTATTTATTTAGATCAATTTAGATTAATATCCACTAGCTTCAGATAAAATTATTATTTCTAGTTACAAATATACTAAATTTATTAGTCTATAAGTTATCAGCTTACTTAATAAACATGTTTTGAAGACCGTAAACTTTATTGAAATGTAAAGCAGTTATTTTTATTAATTTTATTGAATGATTTATTTTTCCATAATATCCTCCTTTAAATATAAAATTTGAATATAACTTCTTGTAACTGCTATTTCAATCTATGTCATGTCATTTCTTGTTTTAAAGATTTTGGAGCACATAGACTCCTCTTTATTTTCTAATTACTTGTGTTATTCATCTTTTGTTTTAAGAATCTTGCAACATATAGATTTTTTTTATACAAGTCTAAACTTCTTCCAATATGCAATCAAGTTTAGCATGTTTTTCTTATCCCAAACTTCAACTCTTCTTGATCAATTTTGTTTATATTATTTATTCTCTCCTCAAACATCCCATTAATAATTGATTTATTTTCTAAATTAGGAGCCAATAGGCAACTAAACAAAAGTTAATGCTTTCCTTTATATTTATATCAATTAGATTTTTCTATGGTTTGAATTTTCTAATTTCAAATCTTCTCTTCATTTAAAACTTTTTAAATTTTTGTTTTTTTATATAGATATTCTAGTTTTGGATAACACTCAGGCCATGTTTATTTCCCGGAAAGTAGTTTCCAGAAAATTACTTTCCAAACTTTTTCGTATTTGTTTGCCATTAGAAAAGTTGGTTAACATAAAACACTTTTTGGTCAACGAAAAACACTTTTCAGTCAAAGAAAAATTTCGCTTGGTTTTCAGGAAAGCATTTCTCTTTTTAGCTGTACTTGTTTTCCGGAAAATGGTTTCCAGAAAAAT